CGGCGGGGCGCGGAGTCGTGCTCCTGCGGCGCCCCCCCGCAGGTCGGCGGCGGCCTGGCTCCCGGCTCGGCCCCGCGTTTTTTGCCTCATGGGTTGGGCGGCGCACGCCGGTGGGAACAGCTCGGGAGTTCGCCCCAGAGCAGTGGGGGAGCACACCTCCCCCCCTCCTATAGCCGGAAGATTTTCCCGAGATAAGGCCGAGTGTTGGCCGATGACTAGGCTGCGGTGTGCGGGGAGAGGCAGGTGGGTTTACCCGCAGCCGGCAGGACCGGCCCCGAAGCTGAACCGCGCCGATGGAACAGTGCTAGTTGTGCTAGCCTACAGAAACACGGCTTTTACTTTTCTAGTGCAATTGAAACCATTACTATCGTAAGATGTCTCATTTTTTAATTACTGTTGTTACAGTGTCACGTGGCTTTCTACCAGGCTGCTTTACAGGAGGGAAATACAGGGAATACTACGGGGAAAAAAAAGTACGGCAAAACGGCTTAGGGATAGTCCTTCGTGAAATCGCAGGCTTGCTTCATTCTCATTCCCCCTGGTCTGTTCCCAGCTGTTGCAATCCACAACGACAAAGAGCCTACAATTACAAGATTAAGCAGTACCCAGAGTAATCAGAAAGTTGCAATGCTCCTTGCTTAGGTTCCCACACATTTACATAAAAACAGTACATTTGAAAACAGAATCGAGCCCATGGCTTGCAGAACAACACAGTGAAAAATAAAATGTGCTTTAATTACAATTATGCAAAGCAGCATCCCTGAACTGCTTACAGCAAGAAAGTATAAATTGCCAGTGCTAGCTCCCTCTTATCTGTCTGTCCAGAAGCCGACTGTGCCACAATGAAAGGGCCTGCTTATTAAACAACTAAGTAAATGTCATGCAGATTATTACAATCTTGTGCACATCGCTCAGATTTGCTACAGAGCAGTCTTGAATAGTGGTTATAGACTAAACCATAGCCTGCATTTTTATATACATGCAACAAGTATATGTATTTTATTTTAAAAAAATTAAAGGACTAACTTGTAGATAGCATATGTTAGGTTTATACGTTCCTAATTGCTGCTTGATCCTCTTCTGGTAACACAAATGGACTTGAACCTGACTCACTGCAGTTCTCCTCGCGTCGTCACAGCAGCACTGTCGCTGTCGTCATGGCCTTTTCCAGGAGGTGTGGTGCCAGGAGTGTAGTGGGGAGTGGGAAATGGGTCGAGGCTTACCCTTTCATCCTGGACCTCCAGCAGTTCTGTGCTGGTCCCAGGACTGGGAAGGTGAAGAATAGGGGCAAGAAGTCTCATAAACCCATTTTATCCTCTTTTATTTTATACTGTTCACTAGTTAGGCCCTGGCTGGACCCGTGAATCATTCCAGATCCCTACGGTTATCAATCAACACAGCTATCATAATACCCCAGGATAATATTTTCTTTCATTGTCATTATGAAGTAGTAGTTCTAGAATTACAGCAATTCTTGTTATATTGCCGTTATGTTTTTTTCCAAAGAAAAATTACCGTGACTATCTCAGGGGATGTGCCAAGCTGGAATCATGGAAGCACAGAAACAAGGCTTGAGGTTTCTGCTTAGTAATTTGAACAGATACTTAGTCCAGATAGAATTTGCAGGATCAGAATTACAATGATCTGAATGTTAGAAATAATTTTTCCTACTTTAACAACATGTGATTCAAATAAAACGTGACATAGTTCCAAATAGGTAACACCACAGAGAGTGGAAAAGGAATTTAATTTGGGGGGAAGGGGAGGAGGGGGATGACAGAAAGAGAAGGACCGCTGATCCATTCATGAATCCACAAAGGCAAGATAAATTCCACACACGAGGGTAACGGTTGAAAGTACGCTCCTCGAGTCCAGAAAATACTTGAGCCCGTCCCTATTTGTGATAGTTCCCAAGCTGATACTTAGTTTCACAAATAAGCTTAAGAACCTGATTAACTCAGCCCTTCTTAATTTCCCCTTTCTTAATGGCTTAAGCTATGATACTTGAGAAAAACAGATTTGAAAGATGTGAAGTCAGGAAATAAAAAATAAAAGGAAGAGGAATAGCATGAGAAAGCAAAAAGAAGACAAAGCTATTCCAAGTGGATTTACAAGTATTTCAGTAGCTGAGGAGGTGGCAGCAAGAAAGAGGACAATGTGGAAAGGGAACTGAAACTCGAGAGCCCAAGAGAAATGAAAGTGAAACTCGGCTGTGAATGGAAAAGAAGGACACCGTGGGGAAATGCACGATCACCAACAAGCCGGCACAACAGGAGAGGCTACTGTAAAATTTGACTTGCCCAGGGCCGCTGCCCTTGAGGTTTTTTAATCTGATTTTCTTAAAAAAAGTATAGCTTGCGTAGATCTTTAATGACTGTTGGGCCCGCAGTCATGCTGACTTAAGGTGAGCATGGTACAGAGCCTTAGAGGGAAAAATATGTCTGTAATCTCCCTCGAAGTTGAAAGCCAGATGAACTCTGATGCAATACAGAGCAGGCGGAGGAGCAGGCAGGATGGCGCTGCTGGTTTGGGAGCCCCGCAGCCCCGCTGTGGGAAGTGGCCCTCGTTAGCGTGCAGCAGGGGTCCAGCCTCGCACCCCAGGTCAAGGCCCAGAAACGCACCACGCGGAGCAAGATGCCGTGTCCGAGAGAGTGGCCGTTGCCACAGCTGGATTTGGAGAAACAGGATTAGCGACTTCTCCGAGTCTTCCTCCACCTGCCGTCTTTTCACCTCTACAGCATAACCCCTGCTCAAATTATCAAAGCCTCGCAGCCGCCTGAGTGCACAGAGGCTTCATCGCTGATCCAGAAATGTTGTCCTTATTGATAGATCCCTCTGTGAACTTGGTTGCCGCAGTCTGCTGGCTCAGCTTCTACGCCTAGCTGTGACGGTCGCAGTTTGGATGAGTGAGCTGTGGAGAACACCGAGAGACGCACAAGCCAAGGAGCCCCCGTTTTCCTGTACTCTGTGTCACCACACTGTGTGCAGGCAGCCGCAACGTGTCTCTTGAGAAGTGAAATGGCCTCCCTTGCTAAGTTCTTAGAAAGAAGTCATCGGCATTTGGGTTTTTTTGTTCAGCAGGTCTAAAACTTCTCCAGCAGTGCTTTTAGAAGGAAGAAAGCCATAAAGAAAAATAAAAAGCACAACACCGGGACACTGGACTGAATGCTGAAGCTAAAGGAGGAACTAACAAAGTAACCTTCAGCACTATCCACGTACAATTCTTTTGTTTTTTAAATTATCCTATTTTTTCCAGTATTGACTTCTGACCAAGGCAGTCAAAGATTTTTCCATTAATTTCAGCAACATATAAAACCAGTTTCATAATCTTAGTTTGTTTGATCCTTAACCACTATTATCTGCTAAAACTGGTTTGTAAGGGTGTGAATGAGGTTAATCTGTGGCCCATTTAAAAATCAGATAGGGAGGCTGTAGGACATATATATATATTGCATATAGAGTAGTGTATATATATATTTCATATATATCAGGATATATATTTTTTACATGTTGATACTGTTCTCCAGCTACTGTCTGTGCTACTAGTGTTTTCACTTTTACAGAAAGCTGTAAGAAATGCTGAGTGAGGATCTTTGCATGGATTCTCATACTACAGGGTAGAAGATACATAAATGAGGAAACAAAATCTTCCTTTCTTCCTTTCTTCCCTTTCCTCCCCTTTCCCAGGCTGTAGGAAGATCAACTGTCTCTTTATACAAAGTTTGCAAATCAGTTTAATTCACTGTCAGTAATATGGATTATTGTCAGGTCTCTCAGCCCAGCTCCCGAGGTGTAAGGAAATCGTTTCAGTGTCACCCAAGTGTCACCCAAATGTCACCAAAAAACCAGCCTGGAAGAAAATGTAAGTTCCCTGATAAATCTTTGGAGCAATTTTGCTGACTCATGATTTGTCATTTATCTCATGATAGTTGGCTTTTTTTTTGAGTATCTTACCTTTCGTGAAAGAGAAGGTGCTTACCTTTCAGCCCTGAGATCAGGAAGAAAAAGTCTTGAGACTGTGACACTTGAAATTTGCTAAAAATAAAACCTGACAAATCACTAGGTTGTTATTACTTATTTTTTTATATTTATTGCTTTCATGGGTTTTGAATATTTGAGCTGGTTTATTCTTTCTTTGGGCCTCTTCAGCAGGAGTTGAACAAGCTTATATTTGAAAACTAAATACAAATTTAAGAAATTACATTTTTTCATTAGGCATTTATGGAATGAAGACAGGCATTTTTAGGACTTTATATTCAATATGACTAGTAAAATGCAGAAGATGACCCGTAGTCCTAATTATGTTAGCATCCTGTGGAGGAATACACATACGATTTTAAGCACAGTTTAAATGGTTTAAACATAGTTTTGGATTTAAAGTTACTGCAAAATAAGTTCAGCGTAGGCAGAGCGTGTG